CATTTCCCATAGTTAGTATAATTACTTGAATAAAATATTTGATTAATCTTAACATTATAATTTACAATAGGATAATGATAATGCAATAGTGGCCAAATGGGATATATTTCAACTAGATGCTAAATATCATGATATAATAAGAGACTTTACAAACAAAATATTGAGGGAGTGGGATGACAACGACTCCATTGCTATTGATTTAGTATGAAATTAGTTTTAATTATGCATATTATTATAAGAAAAAATATGAAAATATTTAATATAACTTGTATTTATTTGACAGTTGACCGCGATCACACTATTCAATCCAAATCGACCTAATTTAACACATAAACAAAATGTTAGGTAAGTGATATAATTGATAGATGATAATAAGTTAGAAGTAATTACTTTAATAAATGTTTTTATTTTTGTCAATTGTTTGTAATAGACTTGAACAACAGTTATACATATATCTATTACAAAGATACTTATTATTAAAATATGGATCGGATTGGGAATTAAAATTACAAAAACTGATGATTTCGTTACAAGAGTTATCAGTGTTGAGTGACATGGAGATGACTGTTATGGTGAAACAATATAAACCTTTTATTCATTTATTCGGACCCCTAATGAGGGAAATATATGGATTGTACAGTTCTGATCAAATTAAAGACTAATTATAAATATACTAGGTATTGGTGTCATCAAGTGTAATTTTTATTTATGTCCATTCTCATGTCATACATATCTAAATATTCAGTATATAATGTATAATATTTTATTTTAACTTTTATTTTAAGCACTACATTACAAAGTTTTATGATCATTTAATTTGTTGCCGTTGTAAATATTAGTGTCTTAATATATTATTTCAACACATTCAATTAATCTATTAATTATTTCGTTTGAACGTTTAATTAAGTTAATCATAAACAAATGTTTTCTAACATTGATTCATTTATTTGACGCATGAATTTGCGCAAGTTAATTTTGTAGCTTGTAGTTGTAAATGTCTTATTTTGCAATAAATACTTTACTTATTCGAGTGTGGTGTGTAAATTAATTTTCATGTTTCAAATAAAAATTACTAGTAGTATATTGTACAATTATTGCTTATCACCAAGTTTATCAATTTCAATATGAATTTAAATAAACCATTTGAAATATGTGGAGTTTGTGGCGATAAAGGGACAGGTATTTATAATGTTTTTAAATGCTCAACAAACTTACTGATAAATTAACTTAATTATAGGCATAAATTATAATGCAATTACATGCGGACCATGTCGTACATTTTTTAGGCGATCTGCATTAAAAACTAAAGTAAATAGTTTAGTATATACATGTATACCTGATTTAAACTTTGATTTGTTTAATTAAACCTGAACCAATAGTCATTAAACTGTCGATTTGATGGTAAATGTGTCATAAATCCTGTGACTAGAAAAATGTGCCAAAAGTGTAGACTCGCTAAATGTTTTGCAGTCGGAATGGGAAAGGTTATATTTATACCTGTTTGAATACAAAGATTTTTATTATATTATTTTATTGTAAAAATAGGAATTAATAAAATACACATCTGAGAATGCAAATAAAAGGACCACGCTAAATAACCTTAAACAAAATTATTGCATTGTCTCCTCAAAAAGTAATTCATCTAAACATCTGTTTGGAAAGAATAATGGAAATGACATTTTTGATGATTTGTCAAAAAATACACTTAATATAAGCGATGATGAGCTTAATAAACAGATCATAAAAATAGAGAATAGTGTCATAAATGAAAACATGGATGAAATAAATTGTGAATATAATACTCAAGAATTGACAGTTATTCCTATGTTTAAACATCTGACAGATTATGTAGGTTTCAATCAGTTAGAGGGTAGTCGTATATCCGAGTTAACCCAAGCAACGGTTAGGTTTAACTATGGTGTGGGCAATAAAATAATAAAAATGCGAAATATTGAGGAATTGGTTAAGAATTCTCACCAAAGAAATGAAAACTTTGTTAAAGATGTCATTGAATTCACGCAATGTTTAAATGGATTTAATAACATTTGTTTTGACGATCGCTTGGCACTGGTCAAGCATGGAAACACAGAATTAGCCAGGTTCCGGTGTTTAAAGTATTATGATATTCATAGTGAGTGCTATTCTATGCCATTGGTGAGTATTAAATACTAATCAGTATATTAATTTTAAAAATAGTTATAATGTCAATTTAATATATTACACTTCAGAATAGTAACAATACTACACTAGTAATTAATTGGAGCTGGGATATAATGAATTTAGAAAATAAATATCTTAACATCATGAAAGACTTTTCACGTAAAATATGGATTGAGTTAAATGAGTGCGATTATGTTACTATAGATTTGGTATGTATTTAACTTGAACACCATAATAATGTACTCTAATACTGTACAATGTATTAATATAATTTAACTTATTTTTAAGTTGACCGCAATCATACTTTTCAATCCAGATAGACCTAATCTCATGCATAGACATAATGTTAGGTATGATATATTTTATAGTTCTTTCATTGTAGGTTAAGAATAATTGTAGTAGCTAGTACCGTTTTGTAATAACCATCATTTTAGGTTTGAACAGCAACTATACATATATTTATTGCAACGATATTTACGATTGAAATATGGATCGGAATCTGAATTAAAGTTACAGAAACTGATGATTTTATTACAAGAGATACAAGTGTTGTGTGACATTAATAGGAAGTTTATTGTCAAACAATTTAAACCATATATGCATTATTACGGACCACTTATGAGGGAGATGTATGCTTTCAATAAAGTTGCTGACTAACTTCATGTTTTTAGTTTTTACTTGTCAATATTTATTTATATACTCTGTAATTAAATACAATAAATAAATTGTGTAAAAAATTAAGTAATTTGTTATTAATTTATAAAGTATATTTTTGTTCTATATAATATCTACAAAAAGTTGTTAAGCACAAATTTAGTAAACAGGACTCAGTATCTATTATCATGTGATAAAAACACTTTTATAATTAATGTGCCATTATCTAATAGTGTGTTTAATATATTAGATCTGAGATTAATGCACTTATTCAATAAATATATGATTTATAGTTTAATACTGTGCTAATATTTTATAGTTTAAATTTCAAATAAAAAGTAAAACCTATTTACATAATTATAATTACTAGTAATACTATTAGTATTTCATAATAATTATAATATGAATTATACTAAAGTGACCAGAATTTGCGAAGTATGCGGTGACAAAGGAGTTGGTTTGTGATTATGTTTCCATTTCTAACATAGTTTAATAATCTATAAATTATGTTATAAACTAGGTAAGAATTTTACCGTAACAACTTGCGAATCATGTAAAGCATTCTTTAGGAGGTTTGCACTAAGAAATAAGGTAACTATAATATAGAATTAACAAACTTTTATGCAATTGTACTTTATAAGGATAATTGGTCCTAATAAAATAGACACAGTATTTAAATTAAATAATCTCTCGTGAATAGCCATTAACCTGTCCATCAGGCGGTATATGTATCATAAATCCTGTAACTCGAAGAATGTGTCAAAGGTGTAGACTTGCCAAATGTTTTGAAGTTGGCATGCGAAAGGTACTCTTTGAATTTAATACATTTAAATTACCTTTTTATTTTGTAGACTATTTCGTTCATAATATTTTTAATAATAGGAATTTATAAGAGATCCCGAAGAGAATGAATATAGAAAGAAACTGATCAAGCTCAATAAATTGAAACAACAACAAGGTTATGAAAGTAACATTTCATCCGCAAGTGATTCATTGGAAAGTTTACAACTATTTGATGAAATGAACGATATTTTTGATGAGTTATCAGTGAATAAATTCAATATTAGTGATGTGAAACTCAATGAACAGATCATGGAAATTGAAAATTGCTGTATCAATGAGCTAGATACAAGTAAATCTCATGAAACAGCGATTATACCGATGTTTAAGCATATAGTAGATTATGAGGGCTTCAATCAAATGGAAACCAGTCGGATATCAGAGTTAACCAGAGCTACGGTTAGGTTTAACTATCCAATTGGTGATAATATATTGAAAGCTACAAATATGCAACAATTTATTGAATTTTCTACTCATAAAACTGAAAATTTCATTAAAGATATCATTGAATTTACTCAATGTTTGAATGGGTTTAATAATATATGTTTTAACGATCGGTTGGCACTCGTAAAGTATGGGTGCAATGAATTGATAGGAGTCCGCGGTTTTAGATATTATGATCCAAAGATCGATTGTTTTAAAATGCCCATGGTAAGTATTACTGTATAGTGTAATAATACAAAGTATTATGTAGTACATAGTAATTTCAATGTATATCTATTTTTCCTACAATACAGGACAACAACAATACATTAGTGACTAATTTGAAGGTATTTAACCTGGATGGTAAATATTATAATGCAATTAAAGAGTTTGTAAATGGCATTTTAAATGTATGGAGTTACGATGACCCCCTTGTTATGGACTTGGTATTTATTATATAAATGTAACTATTTTAATTTATTTAATTTGAAATTATTTTTAAGCTTATGGCGATCACACTTTTCAATCCAAATAGGCCTAACTTAACGCATAGGCATAATGTGAAGTATGTCCGAAAAATATGCTAATATTTATTTTATAATGGCTATTGTTTTGTATGCAGACTTGAACAGCAATTATACATATATTTATTGCAACGATATTTACGATTAAAATATGGATCGGAATGGGAATTAAAACTACAAAAACTGATGATTTCATTACATAAACACGAGATGTTGAATGACTTGGAGATGTCTGTTATGATGAGACAATACAAACCATTTCAACATTATTTCGGACCACTAATGAAGGAAATCTATACTTTTGATAGTAATAAGTCAATCAATCAATGATAAACTGTATTAAATTTATTGTTGCTGCATTTGTTAAAATTAATTTTGCATGGCCTTTATGAATACTACTTTACTACTTTAGCTACTTTAGTAATACACAGAGGTATAATTATATATAATTTATATTAAATAATGCATACTGTAACTTTGAATTTACAATTTATCATATATTTGAAATGAATGCCAACTTTCATAAGAAATGTCTTGATATTATGATAACTACTTTATAATTGATGTGATATGAATTATCTAATAATGTAATTTTGATAAGAAATTTATTTGAAGTTAAATTCAATAAACACTTTATTTATACTTCACTGTAGTTTAAGAATTAAATTTAAAAATTCATAATAATTAATTTAGGTAAATCAATTTTATTTACATTAGGTGAACAAGTTTATTGATTACAATATGAACCACAATAAGTCAAATAAAATATGTGAAGTTTGCGGCGATAAAGGGACTGGTATAAATTTATATGTTTATTTAGACGTTAAACAAAACTACATTTTATTTGTTTTAATTTAATTATAGGTAAAAATTATACTATAATTACGTGCGAGTCCTGTAAAGTCTTCTTTAGACGGTTTGCGCTCAAAACTAAAGTAAATATAAAATTATAATAACTTTTAATTAGTATAAATTAATTTAATACTGTAATCATAGCCATTGAACTGTCCATCGGGTGATAAATGTGTTATTAATCCTGTGACCAGAAAAATATGCCAAAAGTGTAGACTCGCTAAATGTTTTGCAGTCGGAATGAAAAAAGTATTACTTTTAATAATTAGAATAAAAATATTAATATAATTATTATTTAATAGGAATTAATAAGAAATGTCGAGCAAAATGAAAAGAGAGCAAAAGTGGTCAGGCTAAATAAATTAAAACGTAAACATATAGTTGAAAGTGGTGTGTCCGCAACAAGTGATTCATCGGCAGGTTTAGTACATACTGATGGGGACATCGAAAAAGACATTTTCGATAAGTTGTTGGAAAATGCACTCAATATTAGTGATGATGAACTCAATGAACAAATAATGGATATTGACATTTGTGTGACTAATCATAAAAATGATGAAATAATTATTAAAAATAAATCTCTCGACTTACCTGTTACACCGATGTTTAAACAAGTGACAGATTATGAGGGTTTCAATCATTTAGAAATCATCCGAATATCCGAGTTAATGAGAGCTACGGTTAGGTTTAACTATCCGTTTGGCAATAAGTTGCTGAGAGTTGAAAACTTGGAAGAATTGATCATCAATTCAAACCAAAAGAACGAGAGTATCATCAAAGATATCATAAATTTTACTCAATGTTTGAATGGATTTAATAATATTTGTTTCAACGATCGGTTGGCACTACTGGTAAGGTATGGGTGTATGGAATTGATAGCTATTCGTTCACTTAAATATTATAATGTACAAAACGGCAATTACACAATTCCGTTAGTAAGTATACATTATATACTGTACTACAATGTAGACATTTATTAATACTTATAGCTGTAAATTAATTATTAACAATAATACAGGACAATGACACTATATTGGTGACCGACCTGGGTATATTACATTTAGAAACTAAATTCTTTAATACGCTTACAGAATACACTAATATGATTGTGAGTGAATTAAACTACAATGACCCGGTTGCTATCGATCTGGTATTTATTATTCTTTATAATGCTATTTAGGGTTTTGAAAGTAAGATTTTTAAATTTTATTTTTAAAGTTGACCGCGATCACACTATTCAACCCAAATAGACCTAACTTAAAACATAAACATCATGTTAAGTATGGTATCAAATTTATATAGTATTTATAATTTTAAAACTTATTATATCCATATAATACTATTTGTAGACTTGAACAGAAACTTTACATATATTTATTGCAACGATATTTACGATTAAAATATGGATCGGAATCGCAATCAAAGTTACAAAGACTTATGAATTCATTACAAGCGCTGCAAGTGTTGAGTGACTTAGAGATGACGATAATTATGGATAAATTTAAGCCATTCATTCATTATCTCGGACCTCTTATGAAGGAAATGTATCAGTTTGATCAAATTGATGCTTAATTATATTTTTTCAAATTGTTTATTCTAGATTATAAATTGAAATTATGTACTAGTATAATAGTTCGATTTCGACTATAATAGAATTTTAATTATTATAATATTTTAATTATTACTTGTAATTTAATGATTGGTATTAAATAATGTATAGTTTTGTTTCAAACTATATACAGTATAATACTATATCAAATCAAATATATAAACCAATGTTTTTCTATGGTTTAGTAATTAAGTTTAAAAACATAAATAATATTAAGTAAATACTCATAGAATTTTATCATGCAAAATTCCCAGACCAGGTAGCTGATTTTTGATATAGTATTATACTGTATATAGTTTGCGCTCAAAACTAAAGTAAATATAAAATTATAATAACTTTTAATTAGTATA